AGAGTTATAATCTGGGGTGAACTGGCGGCAGGCCCGTTTTCGCGATCGGCGGTGAATTTCAATGCGGGATGCAAGACGGCGGTGTCGAACATCGTGATGGCGTTTGCAGTGATGGTGACGTTGCTGGTGCTGACGCCATTGTTCCACTACACTCCAATTGTGGTTCTGTCGGCGATCATTATCGCCGCCATGCTTGGCCTCATTGACTACAACGCCGCCATTCACCTCTGGCATGTTGATAAGTTCGACTTCTTTGTCTGCATCAGTGCCTACATTGGTGTGGTGTTTGGCAGCGTCACCGTTGGCCTAGTCACTGCTGTAAGTCCCCTCAACTTCCATAGTTTTTTTTTTTTTTTGGTGACGATGGAAACCGGCGGTCACTACCCAATGGTGTGCACTGGGTAAATCTGTCTGACCTTTTTTAGCAAAGGATCACAAGGAGGTAAACTAACCTTTTCAAACTAAGAAGATCAATAGGTCACTCTGACTTAGAGTGAAACTTGTAATCTTGTGATTAATTCAAGTGTCGCCCAACATGGGTGTCTTTTGCATCTTTGGTACTATCCCCAACCCCAAGGGCACCCACGCCCACACAGAGGCTAGACATTTGTTTACTGTGCCCCTCACTCTCACTTTGAGAGGTTGCTCCCACACTGCTGCTTGTGAGAATCGATCTCGGGTCATTGTTCCTGAACTTCACACATGTGACCAACTGAGCTGCTCATGCAGACTAACCAGTATAATCATGCTGATATACATGATTGGCACCAGGTGCAAAAGACACCGATGTTGATTAGTATGATAGACTTTAAGTTCACATGGTAGACTAGAATTGATCCAAAGTGAAATTCTGGGTGGTGTGAATGCAGGTTGGATTGTCATTGTTGAGGGTGCTACTATTTGTTGCAAGACCAAGGACTTTAGTTCTGGGTAACCTCCCTGATACCAAGATTTACAGAAATGTGGAACAGTATCCCAAAACTGACAGTGTTCCAGGCATTCTCATACTTGACATTGGTGCCCCAATTTACTTTGCCAATGCAAGCTACTTGAGAGAAAGGTAAATTACACATCCACGTCACACATTACTTACTAAAACCATCAGAATCTTTATGTAATAGTAGATTGGTGTTTGTTCATGAAGGATTTTAAGATGGATAGACGATGAAGAAGACAAACTGAAAGACTCAGGAGAGACGACTAGCCTGCAGTATGTGATTCTCGATATGGGAGGTTAGTGAAATGCTACACTATTATATATAAAGCACCTTTATTCCCGAAGTTTAAACGCTATACTATTCTTGATTGATTTGCAGCTGTTGGAAACATTGATACAAGTGGAATCAGCATGCTTGAAGAACTTAAGAAAAATGCAGACAGAAGAGACCTCAAGGTATAGTACTATAGTATATCTCGTTTGGAAATGAGTTTATGGAAAGTCACTCTATTCTAAAACTTTCCAGTGCAAAGGAAACAAAGAAACAGGGATTAGAACATGTAGAGTTTTGATCGATTTATTGGCTTTGCAGTTTGTATTGGTTAACCCGGGAGCAGAGGTGATGAAGAAGATGAGCAAGTCAAAATTAATAGAGACAATAGGGCAAGATTGGATTTTCCTAACAGTGGGGGAGGCTGTTGGTGCATGCAAGTATATGCTTCACTCATACAAACCAAAATCAGACACAGATTCAGTTTGATGAAGCAACAGCGCTTGAGTGACCAATTTCCGGGTTTGCAATGTCACACAAGAGAATATATATATATATATATATATATATATATATATATATATATATATATATATATATATATATATATATATATATATATGTATGTATTTGGCCAAATATCTAAATCCATTGGGTGTATGCACCATGGTGCAAACCATAGGTTCATCTATATCCTTACTTGGATATGGAAGGGTTCTTTAACCATCCAAAATAATGTAATCGAATATATTTATAGTGTATATCAATAGCCTTCTAAACCTTTTGCAAGAAAAGCACTATAAACATTAGATATGCAAAGCTTTAGTAACAAGTACTGACAAAATTTGTTCTAAGGTTTTACGAGACTGGTAATTTCATAGAACGACTCAAAGTTTGAACAAAACTATTGTGGTGTCTGTTGGAGGTTGCTGCAGATATATGCCCAATACTATCGGAGGAATATACAGAGGGGATTGTGCAACAACGAGAAGAAAAACCATATTATGATAACTCGATGCATAAAACTTCCCCATGTTCAAGAACTAAAAAGTGAATGGATCAAGAATCAAAACCTGAGTAGATGCCACTCTCCCTCAGCAACCGCTTCTCCTCTTCCACATAGTTCTTCCCTCTGCTAGCCTGCCCCATATCCCTCTTCCGTTTTTCCTTCTGTGAGAAAGACAGGTTCTTCTCTTTCTGAGTTCGTGCGTGTACCAGCTCCTCTGCTTCAACAAGTGCAGCCCTCGTCTTCTGTCTATCTTGATACGTCTCTTCTTTCTCCTTAGCCCGAGCATTTTCCCCTTTCGACCACGTCCAATCCTTTTGCTCGTCTGCTTCCTTAGGAGGCGGTACTTTCAGAACCGATAATCCACCTTTGTAACCATGCTTACTCAGAGCTTCAAAGTCTATACCTTTCCTCTTCTGCTTCCCACTCTCAGCTGCATTAACACACAAAAAAGAAGCTAAAACCTAATATGAAGCCATTTTGGTTTCTTCATCTGCTTTCGAAAGTTAGCATAAATAATGAGCTATTTCCAGCTAACAGAGAGAGTTTATTTCAGTTTATTCAATTTCTACGAATTCTGGACATGAAAAAAGGACGATTTCCTAGTTGCAGAGATTCTTCATTTCAGTTTATACAATTTCTATGAAATTGGAATATAGATAAATACTGAGCTAATTCTAGCCGACAGAGATTGTTGAAACAGTTTTATACAAATTCTATGAAATCTGGATAAGAAAAAATGAAGTTACCTCGAGAAGAGTTATCCTTGGAGGATTTCTCCGTGGCATTTTCCTCGGCATCTGAATCGACAGACGACGAGTCGTCCGATGATGAGTCGTCCTCTCCCTTGCTCCATGGAAATGTCCTCTTCATTATCCCCAAATCGATACTGTTCTGCTAGTTCAAAACACACAACTTTGTGATAGGATTAATCAATTGAGATTGAAGCTAGGGTTTCATAAACGGGGAGAACGAACAGGTTCGTGAGTTGATTCCAGTTCCGCACGTCGTCGTTTCATCCGAATCTGGAATTTCTTAACTTTAGCCCAGCATATTGGCAACAGCTATATTAGGATGTGTTTGATTTGCACATGAGAATCGGAATGGTATCAAATATTTAGTAATGGTAATGAGTTTTAGTGAAAGTATTTTGCATGTTTGGTAGTATTGTGGAATGTGAATGATTATCAATTATGCTGTTTGGTTATGTATGATCCAATAATAGAAATAAAGATTATAAAAATACAAAAACACAAAATCAAGACAATTGATTATAATATAAAGACATCCAAAACACCAATATGAACAAAAAAAAAAAAAACAAAAATCTAAAAGCACTAATCAAATGAGATGAGAATGAATAAGGAAATGAAATGGGATGATACCCTTATTTTATTTGGGCATGTGTTTTTCAATTAAGGGGTATTTGAAAATCATAGTAGTGTTTTAAAAACCTATCAACCAAACAATACCAATCACTTTGATACATATTCCTTAGAGCTAAACATGTCAACCAAACACACCCTTAGTCTTTCTATGATTTTTTTTGTTTTTGTTTTATTTTTTTTGTGACAAAAAAAATTTGTAAAATGTCTATTAGGTAAAATCTCATTTTTATATAATAGCTCAGATATTACACATGATATGTAAATTGCATTTGGAAGACTTGTGTGCCAACTAGACTGAGTGAGTGTTTTAACAAAAATCAAACTCGTGATTTGCATATACAAGAATTCTACTCGCACACACTTGGCCACCCATTTCAGCATGATATCCAATAAATTGGAAACCCTAAGAGATCTAACCTCTACCATTTTCATAGTTCAAGATTATTTCAACAATGGGGGCAAGTCATGCAAGTTAGTCGCGTTATTAACTTGATAACCAAGTCTCAAGGTTGACTTCCAGTGAAAATGCCCGATTGATCTTATTGGTTTGAGTTAGTCCACTATGACACTACCTTCTTATGATTCTTTGCTACTAAGTATACATACGTATCCTATATCTCAATCTGCGAATTGCCCATGAAATATATGACCCATAATTCCGTTGGCAAGCCACAAGTCCGCAAATTATTCTGTCGATCCGGACCCCGAGTCCACCTTGGACCTAGGTCCAAATGTCCACAATCCACCTTTTAAAAATTCACAATTTGTATACTACAAACACAAAATGTTAACACATATGTAATTGATTATCTTATTTTCCATTCACAAGTTCCTTTCAAATACTGCAGTTACACAATATTAACAGATTAAGATTTGATGACCATGTATTGTATTCACAAATTCCCTGTGTTTTGACTTAGAAACACAATTTATATTCTAGAAGTTCACAATTTCAATACTAAAAAAAATACCATTTATACGTCGTTTAGGACCCGAGTCCACGGTATAACGATTGCATTTTAAAACGCATAAAACCAGACCTTTCACCTAACGTTTCTTGAGCGGCCTACATGATAATTGATAAAGAAGCCCACAATCCATATTGCCTAAGTGATGCACACAACTACATAAGAACACGGGCTGAATTTGGGGCTTATCTCACGTTATAAGTTGGAGACCAAAGACGAGAATGAATGTTTTGGGGGATAGAAGGGAATGTGTTAAATGTGGGCTGGTCCCAAGAATGAAGGATCCTAATCACAAGCCTGATTGAGATACAATACAATGACCAATCCCTATAACCAAACAACAGACATCATGGTCCCTACGTTAAAGAGGGCCAACTGGTCCATGCCACCCACCTAGCTGCTTTGCTCACACTCTTTTATGGTTGGGAGTATTTAATGTTAGTGACCCTCCATAATGGACCAAATCCTTATATCTAACACCAACATCATTTATTCTCCATACACACCTATACATATACACATATATAGAAATCAAATGTTAGTCCGGAGTATAACTCGAATGCTTAATCAATCTAAAATAAGTTAATGAAAATTTTTGTTTTGTTAGTAATTGACATCGATTTATCTCTTACACCAGTTTCTAGAGTATGAGCGGTAATAACCCGACTTTTAAGTTTGGGTTCAAATTTATAGAAACAAAATGTTAAAGTTGATAAATACCATATATATACATGTTGAGATTAACAAAAACAAGAAACAATAATAATGGTAAAAAGGTAAAGAAGGTAAGATTTACGTGGTTCGGCAATGTGCATACGTCCACATGAGTGAAACTATTCTTTTATTAAATGTGATGGTGATAGTGGTGATACAACACCTAAGGATACAACTAATGTATTTATAGCCATCTATCCCTATACAATTGGTCTGGCCCAATCCGCTCTACTCATATTGCTTATATGAGACAAACTAAAACATCTCCACATTGACGAATATGCCATTTAGGAGAAAAGACAACTCAACAAATCTCCACATTGATGAATATGCCTTTTATAATAAAAGACTTATCTCACAATCTCCACCTTGACGAATATGCCCTTTAGGAGATCGAAAAGACTTATCTCACATATACCCATGGGTCGAAACAACCATGCTCATCTTAACTGGCCGACCACATGCACCACGCAACATCAAACATTTCTCAGTGCATGTTCACGAACCTCTTCATCTCGAGTCATTCGCCTTCAACCGTCAATCTGTCATATCGACTGCCATTAATGCTCATCCCAACTACCAATCCATATGCACCACGCACCATCTAGCGTTCCCGCGGTCTTTTTCCATTTCATCACAGTTAAAGCACCCTTATTGATTTTAATGGTTTCCTTATCACTTTCAAACCTAGAATCAGGTTTTTAGTTAGTCCCGATATATGTCTGACATCATGCAAAGTTCTAACAATACCATCATACATCTGGATGTTAATATCACCAATACCTACGATATTATGACATCTATCCTCGCCCAAAAAAACATAACTGAAAGTACTTGACCTATAAGTTGTGAACCACTCCCTATTAGGTGTAATATGATAGGAGCATCTCGAGTTTAGAATCCAAGCATCTGACAACTGACTTTATGAAACTGCTAAAACATTATCTTCACTATAATCTGAGTCATCAACATGTACCATGTTTACAGTCTCTTGTTACTTCTTCAACTTTGGATAATCACTTTTCATGTGCCCAATCTCCTTACATTTGTAGCACCAAATTTTTTTTGTTATTTCTGGACTTAGACCTAGAGTTTCTATTCCCGAAATTATCACTCTTTTGCTTCCTTGATCATGACTCCCCTTAACATACAAACTTTCACCAACGCAACCCTCTCTTGCATCTGCATACGCTTGTTATGAGCCAACAGGGTTGCAGAGATCTCATTGTACTTACTCGTGTCTTTCCTTTATGTAAGAGTAGTCACCCGATGTTCAAAGGAAAGATGTAGTGAACATAGCAAGATCATCGTCTTTTCTTCATCTTCAATCTTGACATCAAGTCTGACCAGATATGAGATTATCTAGCTGAAGACATTAATACGATGCACCGAGTTTGAACTCTCCTACATCTAGTAGATCTAACGGTTGAAAATAAACAAAAATTTGTAATATTTATGAAAATGACCCCGCTCATTTTTTACTTGATTTCTCATCCATCAGATCTTGCAGATCAACGGTTTGAATTTGTCAACAAGTTCTCACGTGAGAAGTAGTTCTCATATGATTAGGATTATATATATATATATATATATATATATATATATATATATATATATATATATATATGTGTGTGTGTGTGTGTGTGTGTGTGTGTGTGTGTGTGTGTGTGTGTATGTATGTGTGTGTGTGTGTGTGTGTGTGTGTGTGTGTGTGTGTGTGTGTGCGCGTGTATTCAAATGAGGACAAGTATATTATAGAGGACTGTGAGGACAGATGTAGTGTGTGCCATTAGCCGGTATGGCATGTGCATGACCGAATGTAGTCGTGTGCCACAGTTTGTATGTCGCGTGCTAGATTTGTTAATTTATAGAGCCTTGGTTCGAAACCTGATGTTTACATTTATTCTTGTGTGTCATTATGTATTAAGTTGTGTGCCTGGTATACACACACACACACACACACACACACACACACACACACACACACACACACACACACACACACCGGGAGGGGTCCTAGTGCGGTAATTTGCTCAGGTGTGGACGTGCAGTTTAATCTGAGCCGTTGATCTAGATTAATGGCTCAAATCAATGAAAAAAAATACGCATCTGGAAGGAAACCAACAATTTAACCTTAAGCATGAAAATGACGCACTTCAGTACACAAACCATGCACTTTAAGTACACAAACCACACACCTTAAGTACACAAACCACACACCTAAGGTTTTAAAATGGCACACCTTAAGTTTCAACAACTCACGCACCTTAAGAAGGAAAACAACGCACCATAAGAAGGAAAATCATGCACCTTAAACTTCAGGTTGACGCACCTTAAGTTTCAACAACAACTCACATTAAGCACGCAAACCACGCACATTAAGCACAAAAACCACACACCTTAAGTTTCTACAACTACTCACATTAAGCTTACAAACCACGTACCTTAAACACAAAAATCACGCACCTTAAGTTTCAACAACTACTCACATTAAACACACAAATTAACCACGCACCTTAAGCACACAAATCACACACCTTAAACACAAAAACTACGCACTTTAAATTTGACCTAGATACAAAAATTATCAAATTATTATCCCCTTTTTTTAAAAATTTTTTTAATTTTTTTAAATCCTGAATATTGATTTAAGCAAGATCAATGACTCAAATTTAACCGTACAATCGCATGGCAACTGAATTCCACGCACCAACCAATAAAAACTATAATTAGTGCACATAAGAATTCACAAAATGCATGTTGAAGAGATATTGAAAGTATTTGCAATTAAAAAATAAATAAATAATAATAATAAAAGATATTGAAAGTAGAAGAGGTCTACATCAGCATTTAAGTTACTGAAAAGCACGTTGAGGAGGAGATGTGCTTCGGAAATGCTTCTTTCATTTCCATGTGATAAAGAAAAGAGCATTGACCGCGAGAAATCTTAATGAGAAACGACAAAACACCAAAACTAGTTTCATTTAGCCACCCTTCAAATAAATAAAAAAAATAAAAAGAATAAAATAATAAAAAAGAAACCAATTTCTTTCATTGAGAATTTAATTTTAATGTCTTGATATTCTCAGTGATGGTCCCTCTAGGGACATTTGATAAAACTAAAATGATACAGAGAAAATAAACAGAACCTTTGCACAAAAATGATACGTACAAATTGTATAATGGTCCTAATAATGGTTGGATGAGTTATGAGTAGTCTATAATCGAGTTAGAATAAAAATAGACGGACTATAATTATATATATGGTTTAAAAATAAGCAAAACATAAACATGTTGTGGTATGAGTGTTTTGCGAAGTCATTATCCAATTTTGCCATATTGTACTTTTTTTTCTTTTCTTTTTTTGTTTTTTTTTTTTTGGTATTACGTGAGAAAGAAGTATAAAATGTTAATGGTTTTTGGTTTATATTAAAACTTGTTTATATATAAGATTTATGGAGTAATATTCAAATAATATATATATATATATATATATATATATATATATATATATATATATATATATATATATATATATATATATATATATATATATATATATATATATATATGATACAAATTTAATATTAAATTAATTGAGTTTTATATATTTGCTCTTAATTTATTTTCAACCATTTTATTCTATTTTTTTCATAATATAAAATGAATGAATTATATGGGTTAAAAAATATAAATTTAGTTTGTGTATTATTACATATATATAAACGGGGCTTACTTAATGCATGTATATTTTTATATAATAATTGAGAATTTTTTTCGTTACTCATTTTTTAAAAAGTGAAAATTTAGAAATATGACGAAAGAAAATTGCCAGCTAGCTCTAGATATTTCTTATTCCTTCCAAACTTTGATTTGATTTGTGAAACATGTGTCCAAGTAAATATTTGATTGAGACAATGTGTTATTTACCATAAAAGGATTATTCACTCATGATTAACCCTACTTGTTGACTTGCAAGTCAAAATCAAGATTCTAACAATAATTCTCCTAGCTTTGAAATAAAGAGCAACTGAAATTTGCTTAGTATAATTAGATGAATTATTTAATATGTTGTTATATAATATCTTACTTGGCTCTTATGCAAACTAAACCATTTTTCTTAGCTTCCTATTTTGCCTGGATGTTAAATTGTAATGATAAGATTATGTAAAAGTGTAAATTACCAAAATGAAAAAAAAAAAGACAAACAAAAAAAGAAAAAAATCCAAGAATGTGAAGTTTAGACGGTGACAACCATGAATTTTTCTCTGTCAAACAAAAACAATTATAGTTATCTTCATTTGGACTATTTTCATCGTCTCACAAGTGGGTTGTCTTGGTATGTTTTCTTCAATTATTTTTTAATTTTTTTGATATTATTTATTAGAAGAACAAATCATCGCCTATTCAACATAACCAACTTAGTACTAGTTGGTTGAATTGCTAACTAATAAGCATAATTACATTTTTTTTGTAAGTTCAAATAATTTGCTAGTCAGAGCGCACATTTTGGAGTTGATGATTTCAATTGAATTGTCACGTACAATTTGAAACTTGAGTTCACCATTATTCTGTATTGAAAATAACATCTCATTCTATAGAAATAATTAAGAGGAAAAATGAATAAATTATATATATATATATATATATATATATATATATATATATATATATATATATATATATATAGGCGGGTTCAGGTGCGGCAGTGTCTTACGGTGCGGTTATTTCTTACGGTGCGGCAACACCAATAGTTCACCAAATATGCACCATCAACGTTAGGAAACACACCACACAAAACAGAGTAAACAGAGCCCTGCATCACCAAACACACACCATTAGGTGTGAGTAAAAACACCATACACTGTTCGGAAATACACCATTGGGGGTGGTGAGTTATATGGTGTGTTTTTTTGAGTCTGTGGTGTATTTTGTGATGTTTTATTACATTTCATTGGGGTGTGTTTTTATTACACTGTTGGTGCATATTGTTAACACTGTTGGTGTATTCTGGAATTTAACCGCACCGCCGCACCGTAAGACCCCGCCGCATATGAGCGCTTATATATATATATATATATATATATATATATATATATATATATATATATATATATATATATATATATATATATATATATATTTTCAATTCCGCAATCGATATGATTAATTATTTGAAGTTTGCTTGCATGCAGAGGTACATTTTCTTGTTATTTGAAATGGGTGTCAACTATTGATGGATGATGACCCATCAACTTTATATCTTTCTTTCCAGGTTAACAACTTATCCAAAAACCAAAAAACAAAATAATTTTAAAAAAGAAAAAAAAAATGAAGTAGGTTGAATGAATGCCATTCCATTCAACATTTGGTTGTCATCTTATTGCTTTAAATTAGGGTCTCTTTCTATTGTTGGTGGATCACTATCATTTGATGAAGGGAACACAATATATATATATATATATATATATATATATATATATATATATATATATATATATATAGGAATTATATTTCTAAAGTAAAACTCTCGTCACATATCTTGATTTTATTATTTAAAATAATAATAATAATAATAATTGTGAATCATTATTTTTTATGAATGAATAAAAACAAACTTTGTAAATTTGAGAATAAAATTTAAAAGTATACGTAATATTAATCGGGAGAAATATATAATGTTGAATGAATAATTGGATTTTCCCCGTACCAATACTTTTACTAAAATCTAAATAGGGCCAATGCATGCACGATGAGACTTAATTCAAATCTTAGGTTAAATGCTGTCCAAGCTAATTAAGCATATATAGCTTAGGTTAGCTACTATACCTAATTACCTATATGCTTTGACACTTGAATGAATTTAATTGAAAGAATGCCTTTTGTCTTTGTTTAGTGTCAAAAGCATTACAACACCCTTCACATGGAATGTAAACTAGTATATATAAGTGATGGCAATAAAGATGGGAAACATTACATATCCATTCATCATATATCTCTATCAATTTGGGCGGATGGTATTGTTAGATATGTTTCGTATTAACTAAAAATATATAAAATTTAGGTATATGACCTATTTAGGTGGATGGTCATATGATCTCTTATTAATTCTGCAAGAGATTGTGAAGTGATATTTAAGTTCGGGTCAAAACCTTCACTCATGAACTAACTTTTGTGGTGAAGTTATATATGATATGATCTTAATTTGAGTATCATATCATTTGATGATGTTCAATGCATAACATACATAAAATGACGGATTATATATCCAATCAATATTGATTCCCGAATCTTAAAATTTCAAAGAGGGGTGATCATGGTTAGTTGCACATATTGCAATGGCTGCACAAGTGCATAAATCTCAACAATTGTTGCAACCTTAAGGAAATTGATATATGTAAAAAGACGTAAAATGAAATATGTTTAATTTATAGTATGTGTGTTTTTTTTTTTTTTTTTTTGATAGTTGGTGAACTATTGTAATTTATTTTAACTTTATATATCCAATACTAACTTAACTTTGATGTAGTAAAAAAAAATTAAACGTAACAATTTAACAATAAAAGATTAGTGTAGAATTCCTTTTTCAAGGTGGATTTTTATTTGTGTGTCACATAGTTTCTATTGGGGTACGCTTCTTCCTTCCTTTGTCTCCAAAATAACTCGATTTCAGAGTATGCAAAAATATAATATGAGTATTAGAAGGTGTCCATATACAATTATAATGATGATACCAAAATAAATAAATGAACTATTAACTATTCAAATAATAATTTACTAAATGATTACGAGTTTGATATATTCTTGCCAACATCTCCTTAGTCGAGTTCATTGCACATGATTTTTCTGAGATGGTTTACGAGTTATTACATATAAACAATGTTTACTCAATACACATTTTTAAACAGTGGCTATGAATTTCTCGTCACAAAATAATAATAATAATAATAATAATAATAATAATAATAATAATAATTGAATTTGATTAGATTGCTTAGGTGAGCAAAACGGGAGGCCTGATTTTGTTGGCTGGACAACTAGCTCGATTTTGACAAGTCTTGGCTACCCTTATGATTGGGACCATACCAAATTGTAGACTATCCATATCAAACCAACTTATTACTATCAATTTGATAAAGTTTAATATTTTATAATATACTCTAAATAAATCTATTTTTATCTTATTACTTACTAAAATTTTACTTTGTTAACAAACTTATGAATTCTGTCCTTAACTAACACCCACACCACATAAAACATTTCAAACTTTTACTAACACCATGACACCAGTGTAATAAACTCGTAGTTCCTAACTCACTGAGCTGAAATACATCTCGTCATTTACTTCGTTCACAAAATCGTATAAGCAAAATAGTGGGAGGTCAATTGTATATATTGACTTTGTTTGGAGGGCAACCCCAACAAATTAAAGCGGGTAATACAATTGGCTTAGTAACCACAAAGTTCTAAGTTCAAATCCTTGTGGGAGCTATCTATCGATCTTCTAGGTTTGGACCAATCAACTATGGATAATTTAGATTGATTTGTTTTATTGTAATTTTTTTCCCGGCTAAGGTCAAAAGACGAGTTCATTCAGAACACACCTTCACATATCTATTGCGAGTTTTTATTTTGTAAATAAAAAATAAACGAAAGTTTTAATTTCGGGTTAAGTTTAACCCCTTTTTTAAATTATAAAATATAGGGGAATGACTAGGATTTCTTTTTAAGATAAATTGGGACTAGCAAATAGGTCTGAAACCATCTTGGAAGTGTCATGTCAAAACACTAACTCATAGTTTAATGTTTGAGCTAATAAATGAAGTAACAGTACTAATATTTTTTTTGTTTTTTTTTTTTTTGGAAACAGTACTAATAGTTTAATAATGTTTTTTTTTTTAACAAATAGTTTAATAATGTTAGAACCTATAGTACACTTGATTGCAAATTAAAGCCCTTGGAACATGAAAACAAAGGCTGAGCCAAGGGGGAACCAAACACAGTCTCCCACATGCAGCATGTGTGTTAAGAATAGTCAATTGTTTGGAGCTTAATCCAAGAAATTAAATTAATTTAAATTTGTTCTTACTTACATTAAATAACAATGCCAAGAATATCCTTTCAAAAAAAAAAAAAAAACAATGCCAAGAATATCAATCCTCTAACTCATCCATTGTGCATATGTGTCCCATTCATTAATTGATAAATATTTGCAAATTCATTTATTATAATATGCTTCAAGTGACATGGACCTGTCCTAGCTCAGCTCACTCTTAGGGAACTTTTGAAAACTTTTAATTGATGATTTTTAGTTTGTAATCATAAACTTATATAATTTTTTTTAATATGGTACGTTTGAAAATTAACTTAAAAGTGTGTTTGAGAGAGCGATTAGAACAATTGTGATAGTTTATTACTCTAGACATACTTCAAAGATCGATCAGGACCAAAATTGTGTGTTGTGCCATTGAAGTTGTCCACTACTCCAATTGCAAAAAAAAAAAAAAAGAATTGGACCGATTAAAGTTGTCTAAATAGTCTAGTTGAGAAAATTTAATTTTTGACCTCCTGACTATTATACATGAATCATATTTGATTATCGACTATTAAAATTTTATAATTATGTGCATGACTATGTAATTTGTATCATATTTGGTACTGTCATCTAATTTTTTGGTCAACTATTGCCAGTGCTCAGCACTGCATTTGCTTCTTCAAAATGAACACTTTTGGAAGGAGCACTTCCAACAAAACTTGATCGGAGAATTGGACGGTATGACCAAATGCGATGCAAATTGCATACTCATGCACCTAATTAGAAAATTTTACTCCCTTTGTCATATTTACTATTCATTAGTTAAATCAACTCTTTTTTTTGTTGCTTATTTTCTTTAGTAAATTTTACGGAGTATATACTAATACTAAACTTAATAGTTAATATTATGAAAAATTGAATTAAAAAATAACTTCAATCAAACCTTATTAACCGAACCAAACAAACAAAATGGGACAAAGAGAGTAATAGTTAATGACTAAATGTGATTCATATATAATAATTAGGGGAACAAAAGTGTACTTTGTTCATTCTAATTTTACTATTATAACCATTCTAATTTTATCATTGTCCCTAGCAGATTAGAGTCTTAATCTTGCATACAAATTATAACTTTTCGATTGGGTTCACTTCAAACCCTAAGAAATTGTGTGGGCTATGCTTATGGGTGGAACTCAAAGTGAATCTAGCAACACAACACCACTTTTCATGCATACAAATGCCCCTATTAGCCCTACCATGATCCTATGTTAATGTGCTAATGTTCTTTATAAGTTAGATTTGGGACCATCGTATCATCTCCAAAGCACAAACAGTACTCACATTAATCCATAATGCACTCACACAAACATGTTGTCTGCATTGCAATTTAAATGACTCAAGAAATTAAACCAAAACCCCTAAATTTGGGACTATTGCCTGTCACCTTGGGACACAAATATGGGTTGACCCAAAACAAAAGACTTGTTTTTTGAGCACATGAACACATTGCCCTTATAATTCATTGCCTAAGATAATCCATTGTCACTAAAGTTAGGAACCAAAACATACATACATTCTCCAAATTGTCTATAAACCCAAAAATCCACATTGGTAACACAACAATTCTTGTATACAAACTTTGAAATTATATTATTATTATTATTAAAGCTAGTGAACGATTTTATTTTATTTTATTTTTTTTAATTTTTTTTGCTTTTTAATTACCTTTCGAGACCAAGTTGGCACAATATTTTAATAACGTGTTTATTAACCAGATAAATTTTCTATTTTTTTTGGAGAAACGAAAAACTGAATGAAGTAAAATAGATCCATCCATTTACTTGTGCATTTTTCTAATTTGAAAACACATAATTGAGAACAAAATCGGAGACAAATAGATAGAATAATTGAAATAAATTTAGCTTTAAAGTTCTAGTAAATTTTTCACGCATTGATGATAATGTTGATCGGTTATATCCCTTTATAGTTTGCAAACTATATATTAAACAATATTATAGTTTACTTGGTCACCCTCGATGTGGGTTTCCTGGGCATCCAAAATTGAAAAATATAATATGTACTATCATTTTTTACTCCCAATTTTTATTTCTACACCCAAAATCTTGATGTAAACATTTGTATTGGGACCCACATGAAAAAAAAAAGTTGCTTATTAATACCCGCTACATCAGGAAGTAAAATTTAGGAATAAGATTTAGAAGTACATGGAAGTAAAAGTCTCCAAAATTATAAAAAGATACTATTGGTTCTCAAAACCCAATAAAGCAATGCTTTATGCCCATACAATTTTACTAACTACAATAGAGTAGGTTTCAACACACTAGAAATTCTGTCTTTTTGAAAGAGATTTACCATATTTAAAGAAAAGGGAATTAGAGCCACATTCATTCTTTTTAAGGTAGTATGATGAGCTGTGCCTGCAATAGATTAACTCCATCTTTTCCATCTTTCCTTCCTCAAATTGCTTTCTCCTCTCATTACCAAGCAAAAAAAGAGGACCATGTTTGGGAACAAGGAGAAAAAGAACATTGCTTGGATTGTAGATAAAACCTCACTTTGCTGACCAAAGGGCAAAGATTTAGAGAGAGAAAGAGGTCCGGGCTCGTGTTTGGAGATCAATATTGTTATTTCTGCATTGCCCCTCTGAGTATCTTTGATTCTTTTCTCTGGGCTGTTAAGCAAGAGAAAGAATACTCTCAAAGCCGGCTTCTTTGGATTGATTTGCCTGGTATTTGGAATACCCAGAAATCAAAATGCAAAACGAGTGGGGCTATCTTATTCCCTTGAATTGGTTTCTCTTCATTACTTGAAAAGAAATAGAGGATTCTGTATCTCTGTTTCACCCCATTTGGTACTTTTATCACAGAAAATAAACTTCCTTTCTGGGTTCCCGGTTATATTTTGATTATCAGTTCCCGGATCTTTGTATGAAGTTCTGAAATAATGAGAGATGAAAGTTTCAAGAAACCTAAGGTTTGTTTGTAAAAAGTAATGATTTTTTTTTTTTTTTTTTTTTTTTTTTTTTTTTTTTTTTTTTTTTTGTGTTTCTGCTCAAAACTGCTAATTTGGGTTGTGTTGATTTAGATTTCATGGACCAAGACACTGGTCAAGAAATGGTTCAATATCAAGAGCAAAGCTGAGGACTTTCATGCGGATGACATCCTCTATGGAGGTGATTGATCTAGGACTTATTTGATTTGTTTGTGTGTTTTTTGTAGTGATTAAGGAACAATTATTCTGTATTGATATGTGCCATTCTTTGTTCAGCTTGAAATCTGGTCTTTTGTTTTCTTCTTTCTGAAACCTGTTCCAATTAGTACTCTTTTCCTAGTTTTTAACAAAAAAAAAAGGTTTTTGTTTTGTTCATTCTCTTTTATTGTTTTGTTAAAAGATGTGGCTTTGATGCCCCTTTAGCAGCAAAATGACACAGCCTTGATGGCTTTGTATCTTTACTTTTTCAGGTGTTGATGATGAATGGAGGAACAATTTTGCAGAGAGAGAGACATGTACTGTTAAGAAAAGCAAATCAGGTATTCAGTATCAGACAAGCACAAGTATTTTTTCCTTTGGACCACACCACTAGTTAACCCACTAGATTTATACGACTAAGCAAAGAATCTGTCGTGTTTGTCATATGATGTTTTTTTGCTCGCGTTTTTTAATGTTGTCCTGTGTTTCGTGTTTCTGATTGAACCAGCAGAGATGGGTTGTAGACGAAACTCGGGTCGTGTTAGGCGAAGTAAGATTGACCTCGATACTTCCCAGGTTACAGATGTAAATAACTATAGGTGTGCTCTTATTTCGCGTGTTTATTATTGGTCTATAATTTCGAAAAATGCCCAAGCTTTAGAGAAGTTAGGTTATAATATATGTGTGTTTACCTTGAATTAGGATCTTTGTAGCTACATGGAATGTGGGCGGGAAATCTCCGCCCGACGATTTAAGTCTCGATGAATGGCTCCATACCTCGAGTCCTGCAGATATCTATGTGTTAGGGTGAGTTAGAACTTAGAACAACCAAATTCGTCGTTTTTTATGCAAGGAAAATAATCTTTTATGTATGGGTTTTAGGTTTCAAGAAATTGTTCCGTTAAATGCTGGTAATGTCTTGGGCACGGAGGATAACGGTCCAGCAAGAAAATGGCTAGCACTTATACGAAAAACGCTAAACAGTATGCCTGACACGAGTGGTAGTAGCTACTATCCCCCTTCCCCGATTCCCAATCCCGTTGTGGAACTCGATGCTGACTTCGAGGGGTCGACGAGGGATAGTGCGTTATTCCACCGTCGTTCGTTCCAGTCGTTCAGCCGTAGCATGAGGATGCGGGAGAGCGACTTGTCGATCCCCCAGCCTCGGTTTGATCACCGGTTTAGTGTCTGTGACAGAGTAGTATATGGGCAAATGCAAAATAACGACTATGATCCAAATGACCATTGGGGTGATTCCTCGGACGATGATTCTCCCGGTATCGAATATTCCCCGCCCTCGTGTAATGGTTCTGTTTCCATGGACGATCGAGATAGACAGACCGTGCAATCGAATAAGTACTGCTTAGTTGCGAGCAAGCAAATGGTTGGGATTTTTCTCACGGTGTGGATAAAAGGTGATCTAAGAGACGATGTTTGCAATTTGAAAGTCTCGTGTGTTGGGAGAGGATTGATGGGTTATCTCGGGAACAAGGTAAACGGTTTGTTAGAGCTTTATTAACCTAAGTTGTATACGATATTACTCCATACTAGAATAGGTAATCTCATGAAAGTGTGTATTTCCAGGGCTCAATATCAGTTAGCATGTCTTTGCATCAAACGAGCTTCTGCTTTGTCTGTAGCCATTTAACTTCGGGGCAAAAGGAAGGCGATGAGCTAAGACGGAACTCTGACGTGTTGGAGATCCTAAAGAAAACGAGGTTCCCAAGAGTTCATGGCACCGGGGACGAGAATTCTCCTCAAACAATCCTCGAGCACGAGTAAAGGCCTTTACTTTTTACTTACCATTGCTACTTTTGAAAGTTTTTTTTGTTAAAAAGCTTTCGTTTTTGCATTTGTGAAGTCGAATTATATGGCTCGGGGACTTGAATTATCGCATTTCCCTGTCTTACCGAACTGCAAAGGCTCTAGTCGAGATGCGCAATTGGAGGGTGTTGCTAGAAAACGATCAGGCATGTTAGCTGTTATTTCTCGTTCCTCGCTTTCTTGAATTCAAATTCTGTCACTTCTTTAATCAATATTTTCTTTTATTTCCTTTTTTCAACAGCTTCGAATAGAGCAAAGGAAAGGTCGCGTTTTTACTGGATGGAGCGAAGGAAGAATATATTTCCCTCCAACTTATAAGTATTCGAGCAATTCAGACCGATATGCAGGAGAAGATACACACCCAAAAGAAAAACGAAGAACACCAGCTTGGTAATCTCTCTTTTGACTATATGAAGTATGAATAGCCAATGTAGTATAAGGACAAAACTTGCATCCATGTATTCATATAATTGAAGCATGTGCTCCATCTAAACTAAAAACCTAAGCTGATAGTTGGATTGCACATTTATGTTTATATATATATTATATGCTCAACACGCCCCCTCACGTGTGCGGGCCGATTACTTTTGATGGGCTCCAAGCAACACGTGGACCGTAGTCTCCTTTCCTTTGGCATGACTCTGATACCAAATTGAAGCATGTGCTCTGTAAAATTTTGTTCTTTGTATTCCACGCTTATCTGGTGAACGTGTTAATGAAGGTGTGATCGAATACTATGGTGTGGTCGAGGCCTCCATCAAATGTCTTATGTTCGTGCAGAGTCGAGGTTCTCGGATCATAGACCGGTTTATAGTATATTCTTGGCAGAAGTTGAGTCCATAAACCGCAATCGAATCAGGAAAAGCTTGAGCATTTCGAGCTCTAGGATCGAGGTCGAAGAGCTGCTGCCATATTCACATGGATATGATGGATGGAATTACTACTGAGAAACGAATCCATATATATCAGTGTATGCTCTCTTTCTCGCTCTCATGTTTGTCTTGAATTCTTGGAACATTAATCCACTCGAAACATCATTTGAACTCAAAAGGATCGTTGATTTCTGAATAGGTTTCTGTAAAATCATGCCATCCCAGCAGGAAAAGCGGTCCTTAGCAAATAGCAAGCTGCATTTAACACCAATTTACTCGGTAAAATTGTTACTTAAATCCTTCTTTTTAACATTATTGCTGCCATGGGTTTAGCGTTTTACCTGATACTTGTTATTGTGTCGAATCAATTAAGGATTCCAGATAGATTGTGAGCCAACATTGCAGACAAATGAAAAGAGCCGCTTTTTTCTGCAATGCCCAGAAAAGGTTTCTTGCTTAAATAGTTAAATCCCTCTTTTTTTTTTCAAGAATATTCCCATCATTCTTTTCATCTTTTTCTCTTACTCATCCTCTGATCTTCATGCATTTCCACATTTTCAACAGATTCCTGCATGGTGTTTTAGCAGAAACGAGGGAATCTGTAACCATGACAGATGCTCGGAAGGAAACCTCGATCGCTGTTCCATTATTCGGTGAATAATCTGTCGTTTTTACCATTGAATCCGCGCCATTGATACACTGCCCAGTTTCTTGAGAAGTTTGACTCTGCAAGGTTTGTTCACATGCACATATGAGATCATTCTTCAGTCCCCATGTGCCATCTGGAGAATATGCTTTAGAAAGCCAAGAATAACTGCAGAAAAACAAACATAGAAATGATATACACAAACCCCCTCCATTGATTCTTCCTTTTATCCTATTTTTAGACAGAGATCCAAATGTAGCTTGTGACAAATAATGCAAGATTGAAATGATGGGCACTTCGATTTGTACTTTGAACGATGCAGATTTATGCAAATTCTTTATTTGTCTTGTACGTGTGTGTCGAAATTATTTGCAGAATTTCTATAAGTAAGAGTTAAACTTTGCAGACATGATCATAGTCAAATCCGAAGATATCGAAATCTTGGATCTTGGATGTTTGAGAAAACACAAAGTACAGAAATCAAGGAAAGGGACTGGCAATTATTGGGTTTTCCTGCAAATCCCTTTGTGAATATTAATGTAATTAGACTAGTCAAGGCTAAACCTTAACCAGACATGTTTGGAGGTTTGTTAATCTTTGAAGTATTGAGAGAATATAATCCCACATAAAAAAAAAAAAAAAAAAAAAAAAAACCCATAGTGACAAGACAGATGGATGTGACATTTGGCAAAGTCTTGCCTTTCTTTCTTTGCATGGGGAGTTGTGATTTCCCTGCCACTGTAAAACTTTCTCCTTTTCCTCTTTTTCTGTAACCAAATCCCCAAAGAGGTAAATTGCTGAATCCTATTTGTTTTTCAACTTTATTGGACACCCATTTTATTATTGGATGTGAGTATGCATTTCTTCTCCCAAGTACTGACTACTTAATCAGTGAGTTAAGCCCGTGCGAGTATGATAGCGCATTTCTTACAATGGTAGAGTTCTTGATAATCATCTCGAGGATTTAATCAGTCTAAGAGCATCCCAATAGGGGAATTTTGGATGGTTTTTACCGATTTAGTTACTTATGTGGATGAGAGAGTGAGGGAAGAGAAGATTTGAGGGCTTCCTACTAAGACCTGGTTTTTATCTGCACTATGGACCCCACCAAAGTTGAAAAGCTATCGTGTTTGTCGTGTGAAGTGAACTGAAGGCGCCCAGTCGGGCACGTGCACGCGCCGGCTGGGTGCGTAATTTCCTTTGTTTTTTTTTTTTTTTTTTTTTTTTCCTTCTTCTATCCCTTATCTATGCATATTGAGAATGCTCTAAGTACACGCTGTACAGTAAGCAGATTCATTTCATTTTACTTTTCTGAGTTTTCGTTATGTTATGTGTTCTTTATTCAATTCTTGATATTTTTTATTTATTTATTATTATTATTATTATTTTTTTTTGTGGTTTGATAATGGCATGACAACCACTATTATTCTTTCATGAACATGGAGAAGATAAAAGAAATGTTATGAAAATGGCAAAAGGGGAGACAAGAATCTTAGTAAGAGAGTGGTTTGGTTTCCTTTGTGGCAGCAAAGGATTGACCATTTCTGATACTATAAACTAATAAAAGGAAGATGTAAACTTTTGTTGGTCTTTAATTGATTATATTTATATTCTATTAGCATAGAAAAGATGATTAATTGGATCCAACATTGAAGTGTGATGAAAGGGCTTTTTTGGAACAGGAAAAGATGACTATTGTTGTTTGAGGTGGTCCCATGAAACCATGCCATTTCAGATGAATCTTGTCTGCCCATTTGGCTAACTTACCATACTGTCACAGTGCCCCATTTCTTTGTTGCTGAGACCTCATTCACATGCTTCATTTCAGACATCATGTGTTACAATATAAATAATGTCTTTTTTTTTTTTTTTTTTTTTTTTTTTTTTTTTTTTTTGGCTTTTGAGTAAGCCTTAAACTAATAAAAATAATGTCTTTGCCACTGGTCTAATGGAACTCATATTTAGGATTCATGCCTGATTTCAATAGGACTAAATTCAAAATCTGAGATCGATAATTTGTTACCAACCTTACATTATATGATTGTGAATAAAGTAAAACTATTAACTTATTGACTGAACAATTTCACGCCATTCTGAATCTATTTACATACTATTTTAATGGCTAAGTGAACAACCCAACGCTTGCAACATACTAGAGTTTAAAATAGCGAAAAACCACCATCGAGTTGCCAAATTAAACCAACTTGTTAATGTGAGTTTTTTGAAAATGACCAGCCTTCTTTACCTAGAATAACTTTTATCCCCCGAAGTGCTTCATAACACAATTCACACACTTTAATGGGCAAACAGCACAGGCCAATCCTTGGAACATACTATAGCTTTAAGTGGCGGAGAAACAACTTTAAGGCACTAAACCTTCCCGTCAATGTAATTTCTTGAAAAAAATTAACTTTTAGGTGGCTAAGAGCCAAGACTAAGATACTAAACCTTCTCGTCTAATCTCTTAAGAAAAATTAATTTATTATAAGTACATATTACTTTCATCAATTGAAAATAATTAGTTAATTTGTACCTTCCCGTCAATGTAATCTCTACTTTTATCGGTTGAACAATGATTAGTCAATTAATACCTTCTCAAGCAAAATTACTTTCATAAGTAATGGATAGAAAATTACTGTGATAATTAGAGCAACCTGAGATTTTTTTGTGGATTTTTAGGTTGCCAAGTAGGAAAGAGGAGGGAAATGTGAGAAAAAAAAAAGAAAAAAAAAACAAGTATGACAAATGAAAGAAAAAAAAAAGTAAAAAGGATGTTTTAGGTGCCCACCGCATGGTGTGCACGCGCCTGGATGGGCGCTTTTGTGCGCCTCACGCGCATTGGGAGCAATTTTTTTTTTTTTTTTGGTGGGATTCATTGTGGAGACAAGAACTCAATATCTCCGACAAGAATCTCAAATCTTATATCTCCTCCACATATATATTAAAATTTGCAAAAACGAATTTAGCTCACTAGTTTGTTTGAATATGCAATATTTGAGAGGAGAGATAAGGTTCGAACCTTGACGTCAACAGTGTGGAGATTACGTTCAAATTAAAGTGGGCAAAAAGGACAGATTCCTTATGCACACCGACATTCACTGACGGAACTGTAGTGGGGCTGCTGCCCCACTCCCCTACCCTATATATATATATATATATATATATATATATATATATATATATATATATATATATATATATATATATATATATATATATATATATATATTAAATATACCAAAATTTAAATAAAGGTAAACTTGACTTAGATGATAAGGCTTTATTATTAGCACTAAATATTAATTAGTTTTTTATTTTTTTTCAAAATATCTCCTGCCCCTGCTGACATTTATGTCAAAGTGAACAAATCCTATGTGCGCATCGTCACTTAGCCATGTCTGCTTAGTAATTAAGTCATCTGATTTACATCCTTCCAAATATTATGTCAGCTAAAGTGTAAGGGCCTTAGAGCAACCACACCAATGCATAATATGGGGATAATGTAAGATGAATTCTCTCATGTTGAAAAGAATAATTGATGTGGAGAAGAAAGAATAGCAAAATAATTCTTCTGCAAATGAGGGGAGAATGGAAGAAAAAAAAAAAAAAAGTGAAGCAAGCTGGCAACGCACGGACTGCGCGTATCGCGCAGTCCAAGAGGAAGGCCGGGCGCGTGCGGTGGCGCGTGGCGCGCCTGACGCGTCTGATTACTTTATTTTTTTTTATTTTAATTTTTTTTGTTTTGTTTTTATTTTTATTTTTTTCTCTCCCCTCACACATTCTCTTTCCTAATCACTCTTACATTATCTCCCAATTCTCCCCAATTAATGTGGATGCTCTTAGAGTTGAAGATTCAACTTTTGTAGAAAAAGACTTGCAAAAAGTACTTTAAAATATTATGGATGCTCTAACTTTTATGAGTTGAATAGAACTATACACTGAAATTCAAGGAACTATATAGGCGGGGGCTTTGATCCACGCGTCAGCGCAGTATGATTACTACTGCATCTCTGTCAATGCAGCAGCAGACTGGGGACGGAGAAGCCAATAGGGCCGCGGTGGGTGGGTGGACACAAATTAGTCAAAACAAAATGGAAACACTGCCAAAATCCCAACCAAATCAATCAACATATATGGTCGATTGTTGCAGGTTTTATAGTACGTACCACTACACGTACGTTGTATAGCCTTGTAGCCTTCCTGTTTGCCAACGTGATGAGAGGAGTATTTGCCTTTTTATGTTTCTTGTCATTGGGCTCCCCATATAGACATCCTGGGTTTCTTTCTGGGCTCACATTAATGTTTCTTCAAATGTAGAACGTTTTGTTGGTCCAAATTTGCATCTCCCTTCATTGCCATCAACTGCCAAAAACCCGAAACCAATAGGCTAATCCAAAATGACTCGAAACCTAGTAAACTGGTATGATTGACTAGATAATCATGTTGTTTGTGAGAAAGAATATAATGGTTCTTTAGGAGAAAGAATGGTCGTAAGACCCAAATCCCACCCGAACCTAAGAGTGGTGCTAAACTTGGCCTTTAGGGATCTTATCGGCCTCTGCCCAACAATCTCCGCCACCTGATGGCTAGACATGGCCCCTTTGCAGCCAACAATAAAAAGAAATTCATTATTTATAGATCATTATTCAAAATAGACTGGTACTGAACTTGACTCTTAAAAGCGATCTCGGTCCAACCATCCCCTGAACCTGATTACTAAACATGGCCCTTTGTTGCCCCACAGTAAAAAAGAAAAAGAAAAAGAGAGAATAGTTGTAAGCAAGCAAAAGGATCCCAGTAGAGGTTTATTATATAGATCCTGTTATGTTTAGGGCATCTCGATTTACCTACATCTCAGCTCTGCGCCACCACATTCATTACACACATTTCTTACATATATAGTCTCCACCTTAATTATTAAGATAAACTGGCTGGCATAGCATCATACGATCGCATGTAGTACGAGGATGTCGCGGTGGGCATGGACGACCGGACCCCTACTGGTCAGCACGGTCCTCAGACTGCTGCCACTCAGGCCCCTTGGAGAACAGCTCAAGATCGTCGTCGTTCTCGAACACTTTATCCACCAGTTTAGAGCTGACCCCGAACGACACCTCCTTGGCGACATCGTCCATGTTGCTGTACAAGTTGTTCTTGCCGGCCAGCGCCACCCTCTCGTTGTTGTCGGCGTTGATGTCGAAGCAGACAATCTGCAAGTTGTCGTCCTGTGATGCGATGCTCACGTAAGGATTGCCGGGCGGGATGACGAACAGCGTGCCGGGTCTCAGTTGAGCGTTCACGGTCTCGTACGTTGGAATGGCTCCTTCCTCGCTGCGTTCTGTCTGGGAAGACACCTGAGGGCACGCCATTTGCGCCCACCCTTTGCCGTCCACCACAAAGGCTAGCTTCGTCGCTCTTGTGTTGAAGAGTGGACCTAACATCCCTCCCTTCACAGATATAGAGATTAAGAATATGAGTTTGTCTAATATAATAGGAGTGAAAGCTGATGATAGTGAGATAACTTACTCGGGTAATGTTGGCGAAAGCAACCTCAATATCTCCGAGCTCCTTGAAATCATCGTTGTCAACTTCGAAGAGTTGGCCATAGTTGTTAGAAACGCTTTTGTGCTTGAAGATATCCACTGGTTTGGAGGACGACGACTTATCCGTCTTGAAGGGCCAAATGGTATCTGATTCTTTTCTCAGAGACTTGAGTTGCTCGTCAGATACTTGGATGAAAGGGCTGTCGTCCCGTCCTCGCAACACTCTTTGTATTGTCTCCTTGCTTTCATCATAAGCTGCTTCCAGTATGCTTGACTTGAAGGCTCTCAAGAACGAATTCCGCCCAGTGCCAAAGAAGAACTGCAACAAATAAAGTGTCATTTGTCTTATATAGAGATTAAGAATATGAGTTTATCTCTTATAAACAAATTAAAGAATAACCTCGAAACGCCCTGGGGTGGAAATGGTTTGTATGAGTTTGATTATGACGAGCTTGTTGTTGTTATCTGTGTTGACCAGATAGCTCGTAGCTCCAGCGGGTATGAACACAATAGAGCCGACACGGATGTCGTAGCTTTTCTTCTTGTTTTTCTGGATTATGTCCAGAGTTCCCTCACCTGTAGATTAAACCCACAAAATTATGAATCTATTTGACAGAACTTATTTAAGAGCTTATAACTTATTTTAAGCTGAAAACTTATAGTTTATTTTAAGCTGTATTTACCCTCCGCGACCAAGCCGATCAGGTCAGCATCCAGGTGGTTCGGGGCGACGAAGGTTTTGGACTCGACTTCGAGAATGCCGAAACGGAAATTCTCAATTCCCTCGAACTGGTTTGACCGTTCGGTAAACCTGGGGAGAACCGAGAATCTGCCTTGTTGGGACCTGTGTGCGGTTCGGAAATGGCGCGGCTGGAACACGTAAGGATTATCATCTTCGCCGCCGCGTCCCTCCTCTTCGCGGCGGCCGGAGCTTCCGCCGCCGCGTTCTTCCTGCCTCCCTTCTTTCTCCTGGATGTACCTCTCGCACTTATCTAGGCACGCTTCGCGCTGTTGCCGGTCGAATGCCATCTGGACTCGGCACTGATGGCGGCATGTTTCGAGCTCCGGGTCCGCCGTACCCAGAGCCACGGCGGCCAAGGCGAAGAAGACGACGAAGCCTAGAGTTTTCAGAATCATGGTTTCTTGTCTCGATTTTTTCTGCGATGCTTAGTGTGATGAAGAAGGTGGTAGATTGGTGGTGCATTTATAGTAAGGTTTGGGTGAAGATTGGGATGAAGAAGATCGGTGGATCACGCATGCAAAGACATGCACGGAGACAGATGTCTAATGTAAATGATACGTGTCCTATGAATACGAGGATGCTCGCCGCGTACCATTTTTATTGGAGTCCATTATGTCAGGTTCTGGGGATCCAATTATAAGTTGATCAGTCAATTTGTTAAATATTCATTTGGTGAGTTGGTTTCATGTTGGATTTTTGTGAGAGAAATCACTATCCAACCTTTGCCTAATAATCTTAGCAGATAAAAAATCACAAAAAAATAGATTAATAGATTAGCTTAATAATCTTAGTAGATAACCACAAAAAGGTAGATTAGCTTAAGTTATTTATGGGTAACTAGTACAATCCGGACTATACTCACTCTGGGTTTCTTGTACTAGGTTATCATACTCTATTGCTAGTTGCCTATTTTGGATGGTTATTGATTAAATATTGATGATTAGTACGTAATATATAATTTGTATTAAACGTTTAAAATTGTGTAAAGTTCCAAAACGGCTAGAAGGAATGTGATAAGTGCTAATTCTTAAGAGTGAATTCCATTTTTGGTCTTATTGTTATAGGTGATTTTTCAATTTTAGTCCATCATAATTATTTTTGTCACATTGCGTTCACTATTATTAAAAGTGTTCTAATTTTAGTCCATTTTAAGATTTTTCGTGAACTAAAATTGAAACACTTTTAATAATAGTGGATGCAATTAGGGGTGTAAATGAGCCGAGTGGCTTGCGAGCCAATCTGTCAAAGCTCGGCTCGAGCTCGGTCAAAATCGAGCTCGAGCCGAACTCGAGCGGCTCGTTTATTAAACGAGCCGAGCTCGAGCTCAAATATTCTAAGCTCGTGGCTTGTCGAGCCGCTCGCAAGCCATAATTAAATAAATAGATAAATATTATATATATGGTAAGGATCAATGTCTACTATTGACTTGTAATTAAAGTGGAGTTGTAAACTTGTTTTGAGTGCTTGGAGTCTTTAAACATTGAAGTTTGGACTTTTAAATTTTTTAAAGTTTTTATTATTTATGTATGGATAAAACAATGTTTATTATTAATTGAAATATGAACTCAAATAGGTGAAAATCGAGCCCGAGCTCGAACAATCGAGCTGCTCGAGTCGAGCTCGAGCGGCTTGAAAAATTGTCGAGCCGAGCTCGAGCATCATTTTTTGAGTTCGATCGAGCTCGAGCCGAACCATGCTTATCGAGCTCGAGCTCAAGCCAACCCATGCTCGAGCTCGACTCGACTCGTTTACACCCCTAGATGCAATGTGGCAAAAATAATTATGGTGGACTAAAATTGGAATAACCCCTATAACAGTAGGACCGAAAATGGAATTCACTCATACTTTTATGTGCATAATTGATATCAAACTCATATGGTTTCATGTCGATGGGAAGATATAAGTATGTGCTTATTTGATTCCTTTGTGTTATTTAGGTGATTTGGAGGCATTGATTGTAACATCATGTAAATTGGAACTCAATTATATTGCATGTGTTTGAAGTCACCTTCGCACAAAGGCATGCTCTGGGAGTCATGAGAGGTCAAGAAAGTGAAAAAGAATGAGTTGGAGTATCATGACATGACCCGGTGAAAATTAGGGCTCACGCTGGTGGTCACGGCGTGAGTACGTACACCAGCGTGACTCCACTCTACTATATATGCTCTTTTCTCTGCCAGACGACATATTGGTATTTTGAGCATATCTCAGGCTAAGAGTGTCCAAATGAGGTGATTCAAGTGGTATTGTAACGGAAACTTAAAGGGATACAACTTTCATAAAAATCACAAAGGCTAGATCGGATGTCTACAAGGTAAAAAATAGCCTAGAAACTAGAACTGCTGCGTGGAGTGGGTGGTCATCAAGATCGAGGTCACGATGTGAACTCGATCGTGACCTCTGAAACCTGCAAAGTGTGCTGAAAATTCACCGTGGAACTCACACCGTAAACCCCATTGTGACCACGAGCCCAAAACCCTTTTTAAATTGTATTTTTAGCACGATTTGATGGGTATAAATAGTTCTAGGCATTTATTTTTAGAAATATTTTCATTTTCTACTCTCTCTCTCTAAGGTTTTCTTGGAGGGAGAGAAAACTTCTCCGAACATTTTATTTATGTAATCAATCCAACTTTGAAGAAGATTTGAAGAGCAATTCCATATTTCATCTTGCAATTTTCAGATTTCATTTCCCTAGTTCTTAGTCAAACCTAGGTCTTGCTTTCCTTAATTACATTTTCTTTCTCCCAATTGTGATTGCAATGTCTCTTGCTTCAATTGATGCTTTCATTTACATTCCTAAGCTGAATAACTAGATTTAATAGGAATTTGATTAAGTTATCTTTTGTGATTGAATTGAGCTATGAGCTAGTGTATATATAATGACTTGATGATGACTCTAGCTGTGAACTTGGTGGTTTGTATTGACTCTGGTTGTGGCCAAATTATGCAAGAGGTACATGGATAAGGTGTTGCCAATATGAGAATAGAGCAATGTCATAGCCATACCTCTCAGTAATATATCAACTCACCTTTGAGAAAAGGGGGTTGGAAGGAGATGCGAACACCACATGTTTGATAAAATGCTTCAATGGTCTTGAGTCATCATGAGAGTAGGGCTTGAAGCTAATTGAGAGTCTGACAATCACGAGAGTGGCGTTGGCACCTAGTAATAACATCAATCGTTATACTCTGCACTACGGTGCACATAGCACTGTGCGCCCCGCGCGCGCCTCCCAAAACGACGTTAAAAGTTTTTGTATGTTAAGTTGTGTGGGGAGTTGACGCAACAGAGTGTATGTGTATTATGTTATATAATTATGTACATTATGTTATACAATTATGTACATTATGTTATACAATTATGTACATTTTTTGTTATACAATTATGTACATTTGAACATGCGATTTTTTTTAACAGTTAAAAGTTTATGTGTATTCTGTTATACAATTATGTACAATCTCATATACAATTATGTACATTTTAGTATACAATTATATACATTTTCAAAACATGAATTTTTTTTTAACAAGTTAACAACAAACACGGAAAAGTGAAATTAAAAAAAATAAAAGTGCAAAACGATGTCCTTTTGCACCAGGGCGCACAATGCAATGTGCGCCCTGTTGCACAATATAAATTGCATAGTAACATTTCCCTAGTTTCCTTGTCAATGCATTATATGAGTTCTAACCAAGGATACACTATATCATCTACACTTAAGTGGCCTAGTCCGAGTCCTTAGTTTTACTATTAATTGTTGTTTACCTTAGTTAATTGTTTTATCGTTACACTTTGCACTTGCCGTTTGGAAAGCAGGAAAATGACTTCTGGAAAATGAGTCATTTTTCGGAAAACATTTTCTTTTTCCAGTGTTTGGTTGCATTTGGAAAACTGTTTTTGTGTGTTTGGTTCATTTTCTGAAAAATGAGTAGAATGGTATAATTAAATATTTTAATTATTTTATTCTGAATTAAAAATTCATTTTAAATCTTTAAAAAAAAAAAATTATGGCTTCCGGCGAAAACCAGTTCCGCCAGAATTTAAAAAAAAAAAAATGAAAGAGAAGAGGCAGAAAACGACTTCCGCCCAAATTTGGCGGAAGTCATTTTCCGCTAAATTGGGCTCATTTTCTCCAGTCAACGGAAAATGTTTTCCGTTGACTTGATTTTCCAGGTGTAGCCAAACACCAAAAACCCGGAAAATGACTTCCAAGTCATTTTCCGGGTTTCCAAACACAGCCTTGATATCCATCAACTTAATCTTTGAATTAACTTCCAAACACTCTACACTCTTATTATTGATCACCTACTATTCAACCCCATTCTAATCCACTCCTTGAGATAATATCCAGTGTGAAGCTACCCTCCCACACACTCCATTCCATCGCGACTTAACACAACTTTCAGAATGACAAATTCATATCTCACAATTATATTACATGGATACTCTGAATTAAGCCTAATACTTAATCTCATGAGAAAAGCCTTAATGAGAAAAGCCTTAATACTTATTCTTTAAATATATATTGGACCGATCTCGGCCAGTAAAACCAACAATACATATTGGACCAATTGCAACAAAACCAACAATATATAGTGGATTTATTCTCATAATTGCAAGCTAATTAATTTGCTGAAACTCCTGACATGTATCACTGATCAGGATTCAAGCTGCTGGGAGGGGCCTTGAAGAACAACTCAAGCGGTTGGCTACCAAACACCACATTAACAGACTCTTTATCGGAACCGGCGGCGAACGACAAATCCTTGGCCGCGTTTCCCAGTTTAAGGAAGAGGTTGTTGGTCCCGGCGAGAGTTACTCTTTCGTTGCCTCGCCCGTTGATATCGAACCAACCGAACTGCAGACTCTTGCTGGGATTACTGGTCGCCACGTTGACGTAAGGATATCCCGGCGGGATGACGACAACCATCCCCGTTTTCAGCTTCGACCTCACTGTCTGGTAATTGTTTTTGGGACACCCCATTTCTAGCCACCCTTCCCCTTCGAGCACTACTGCTACCTGTGTCGCTCTCGAGTTGAAAAATGGACCCAACATTCCTCCCTGCATATATGTGTTATGGGACAATCCAACTAAGTTAATTTCACTGTTAACTTGGTAACTAGAAAGTTATAAGTATGTAGCTAGTATTGTTAAAGCAATTCTAGGCTGAGGAGATTTCAGGTCTAGGAGATTTTTAGTCCGCCAGTAGATTAGGCGTCCTAGACACCGAGTTGGGCGTCTAACTAGGTCAAGTTAGGCCCTTAACTCGGTCGAGTTTGCACTCAACTGGTCCGAGTAGATTTTTTTTGTCTACTCAGTTACTCATCTTCTATATTCCTCTAGTCATGAACTCAACTAGTTTGGAGAATTATAACAATCTAACAAGTCTCATCCCTAAGTGAGAAAAGTGAAAACAAAATATTCGGATTACTTAACTGCCTAGGCCGCACCTAAGCACCGCATAGGCCTTAGGCCCGACTAATGCATAGGGCCTTCTGCAATATTGCTACATAATTTTCAATGAGTTTTTGCAGGTCGGCTTGCAAAGCCAAAGAGCTAAGATTCAAGTAATCTTATCTCACCCCATGCGGGTTGGCCCGCGACACAAGTGAACCGATTGGCGCAAGTTGCGGGCTTACACGGGCCAGGTTGGTTAGGCCCGAATTTTTGCAATCCATTGTGGCCTTAACTTGCCCACTGCGGTACAAGTATGGGTCAGTCTACAGATTTCAACTCATTTTGACACTCCTAATTACAAATAAAATAATTTAAACTGATTTACCTCTTTGTGATTTTAAAATTACATGTGTACAACGTTGTATAATTTTTTGGTGAAATATTGTACGGTAGTAATTAATTAATTACCTCTGTGATGTTGACGAAAGCAGCATTGACGTCAACTTCATCGAGCGGTTTGAAATGTGTAGTGCCCACTTCGTAGATTACACCGTACTGGTTGGACACAGTTTTGTGCGGGAAGACATTGATGGATCTGTTCTTTGACGTTTCGTCGCCTCTGAAAGGCCTAATGCCGCCCTCGTCTCCTTCTTGGCTCAGAGACCTTAACTGCTCTTCTGTCACTTTAAGGAAAGGACCTTCTTCCTGCGGCTCTCCGAACAACACGCGCTGTATTGTCTCCCACTTCGTCTATATAATTAAGTCAACAATAATCATACACGTTAATTAGCAGCCGGCGATCAGTTTCCGGTCGATCCATATATATAATCAATTAAATTAAACTCACGTTCAAAGCTGCTTCTAGTGTTTCACGGCTAAAGCCATTGAAGAACGACACCGGCTTCTTTCCTGCGGCGCCGGAGAAGAACTGCACCGTGCAAGACCAATTGATAAGTATTAATTAATAATATTAATTAATTGTAAAAAAGTGTCTGGTAAATTAGCTGTTAGTTGTTTACATACAAAAATAATTATTTTTAAACAGTAGATCGAAAAAACTATTTTGAGCAGCTTTTTAAATTTCGACATTTTGAAGCAATAAATTATTGCAAAAAACTAATTAATCAAATACTCATAGAGCAAATACCAATTTTGGTCCCACGAGTATTAACAAAATGACAGTTTTGGTCCACATGTTTAATTCTTATCAATTTTTATCCATTACTATACTTTTAGTACCAATTTTCATCCACGATTATTATTTTAGTACCAAAGTTCATCACATCGGTCACTCATTCGTTTAAGACATATCGAAATCTAAAAATTTTATAGGTATTTTTGTCCTTTTCAACTTAAGATCTAAATTTGAGCATGAATAGAAAGATTTAAGAGCTAAGATCGATCCCAATTCGCAGTTCTCATCCTCATCCTACCTTAATTTGAGGAAGAGAACTGCGAATTGGGATCGATCTTAGGGCTTAAATCCTTTTATCTATGCTCAAATTGAGATCTTAATTTGAAAATAACGAAAATATCCTTGAAATTTTCATATTTTAGCATGTTTTAAACGAATGGGTGAGCGATGTGATGAACTTTGGTACTAAAATAATAGTAATGGATGAAAATTGATAAGAATGAAACATATGGACCAAAACTGTCATTTTACTAATACTCGTGGGACCAAAATTAATATTTGCTCAATACTCATATTATTGTTTAACAAGTCAAATAATTAATTGTGATTAAATAAGTCAAAATTAACTGATAGACTAATTTACCATACAGGACCAAAATTATAATTGTTTAGTGTTGTTATCGATCGATTAAAGATGGAGTAATTAATTACCTGGAAACGACCGGGGGTGGAAATGCTCCGTATAAGAATGAAGAACTCAAGTGGAACTTTTTTAACGTTGTCGGTGTTGACTATGTAAGTTGTCGTCCCCGGCGGAATCCTCAACACGTCGCCCTCGTAAATATTGAAGCTTTCCTTCCCGTCTTGCCGGATTACAGCCACACTTCCCCTTCCTGCATTATATCCAGATCTCTAAATCCATTTAAACTTTTAGTTAAAACGAAAAAAGTTAATTAGTTCTGGGTGGTCATTATTATTATAGTACCTAAAACAACAGTGCAGATAAACTCAGCATCCTCGTGATTTGGGACGACAAAGGTTTGCGATTCCACCAAGAGAAAAGCGAGACGGTAATCCTTGATTCCCTCGAACAGGTCTGACCGGTCGGAGAATCTGGGGAGCATTCGGAAAATGCTCTCCCCGGACGCCGCCTGAGTTTCGAACTCCTCCCGCTGGAAAACGAAAGGGTACTGCTCCTCTCCGCCGTGCCCACGGTGGCCGGCGCCGCCGCAACTTCCGCCGTCATGTTCTCCCACCAAGCATTGATGCTCCTCCTCCTTGCTTAAAGCTACCGTCGCGGAAGCAAGCAAGAGGGCAAAGGATAGCACAATATACCCTGTTCTCACTCTCATCTTCGAGATTTGCGGATGAACTTTGTGATGTGAGCTGGTGAATAGGCAGGAGTATGGGACTGGATTTATTTTATAGGGATGATGAGGCGGTTCTTATATTTATTATATTAAATTTTATATGAGTTAATAATTATACCATCATAAAAATAATAATATTTCTAGCCTCGTGCCCTCGTGGGAAAGTGGCTTAAAAAATTAATTTAAAAGTTCAATCGGTTCCTTTTATTTCTCATCACCCACTCGTAGAATCATTTTTCTCAAAAAGGTTGAATCTCCAAATTCAAAGATCCTCTATATTTTAATCCGACAGAACATTTGAAAAGATGTTAAACTCAGTAATAGAATCATAGCAACTGAATTGGTCATAAAGATAACATTTGGACGGGAGTAGTGTGAGAGCACCTCTCAAAGTAAAGAACTCTTATGCAAATTAAGCAAATGTCTAACCTCTGAGATTTTACATCATCCCAAATCCTTTGTCGATCGGGCCGGAACGTAGGGACCCTTGAGATTGGGGATTCAACATTTGGGAACAAAATACTTAGTTGGGTCGGAGCGTGGAGTCCTTGAGGTTGGGGATTCAACCTTTGGGAACAATGTTAAACACACTCGAGCCTGCATGGGCACCTAATTGAAGTTTGGAAACAATCACCCGGGATCGAGTCTCACCAGCGACATGTGAGCAACCTTTCAAAGTGAGCAGGCTTTTTGTACGCAATAAATAAAATTCTAGTTTCTATGTTCAAGCTAAATTGTCATAATTTATATCTTCTCAAATACTCTGTTGGACCCACTGAATAATCTCTTTAATGTCGAAATAATTGGGAATATCTAATACTTAATTAGAATAGTTGATCACCCCCACCCACCTCGGTACTTGATTAAGAATAATATATTCCATCACCCTTCAAATTACTGACATTGTAGCCTTGCAGATCGAATTATAATATTATTATGACAATAATTTAATTAATTCGAGATGATATCTTACAAAGCGATTGTGAGAAAATTAAAAAACATCAAAAAACCATATATTATATTCCCTTGGTCGTGTAAGAACATACAGATTTCGATTCATCTCCTCTACTCCAAGTATTCATCCATCTCTCTCAGCTATAGAGATTATTTATTCTCTTTGGTCAGTAGAACTCTCCCACCGGCAGAGTTTAACTCGATCTCTACGACATCATGCCACTAACTTTATCTGCACAAAATAATTTTGATCAAAATAATTCAATCCGATCCGATCCGATCCCAAAGTCTGTTCTACTTTTGAATGAAACGTTATGTGAAAAAATATTGATTCATATTAAAATACCTTTGACAACATTGGCACCACAACTAGTGTCACATTTCATCGCGCACACGGTGTCCCCGTCACCCTCACCCTTGCATTCGGTTTCACATTTTTCTTTGCACTTTTCGTATTCTTCATCATCAGCTTCCACCCTAGTAAACGTTAAGACGGAGAGTACAACCATACAAAGCACAAATACTGCAAAAAACTTCTTATTAGTGGCCATTTCTCTCTCTCTTTTTCTCCTTAAATTTTGTTTTTGTTTTGATGTTTATTCCCTACGAGTAAAAGGTATATAGGACTCTTCTTTAAAAAAAAAATATTAAAAATTCTGTATGATCAATCCTGAGACGCGAATTTGTTTGAGGTTTTGCATTGATTGAGGACGTTGTCTACTTGTCTTGCCATAATAATAGGTCAAACTCCTGAAAATCAAGAATATTATATCATATGCCCACCATTTGTAAATATATACATTAAATACAATAAAAAAAATTCTTAAATGAATTAAATTTATTTAGTTTTATTGTTTTCTATATTGGCTATGTTTGGCAAACCTAACTGAAAAGGTCGCTGAAAGATGAAAAGCTATAAGCTATGAGCTGAAAACTGAAGAGCTGTTAAGCTAGCTATTATGCTGAAAAGTGTTTGGTAAAATTAGCTGTTTGATAAGCTGATAATTGAACTTGTTGTCTTCAAAAAAATATAACATTTGAAATAAAACTGTTACCATACGATCTATCATCCCATAATATCTTCATCCTTTTATATTTTCTCAACCTACTGAAACACAAAAAACCAATAACGCCTCCATTGAGGCTCAAACTCACAATCTTCCAAATGTAAATCCAACCCGGGTACCATTAGACCACATAGTCTTAGTTCATTTTATTCATCATATATGTTAGATAATCAATCTTATAATAATAATAATAATAATAATAATAATAATAATAATAATAATAATAATAATAATAGCGGATACAAGATTTGTCATTTCTTTAAAATGTTTAATAATAATATAGGATTTGTGGTGAAAGTTGAGAAGTAAAAGGTTTTAATTGGGAAGAGTAAATGATGTCAATTTTTTTTTTTAATAATAAGGATAAAAATGGGAAAAAAGCTAGGAAGCTATCTACAAGCTTATTTTGAAACGCTACCTAAGATATTGTTCCAAAATAAACTCTTATTTTAAGCTACGAACTTATTTTGAAAATATTAACAAACAGAGCTTATAACTTATTAGTAGCTTCAAATAAGTTTATAATCTCTGCCAAACAGAATTATTATGATGATTAGTTTTAATTTGATTAATATTTACATATCGATAATAGGGCGTTGTGTATCAATTATTGTAACGATATATGTCTTTTAGATATGGGGTAAATCCCGCTCCTACCTCTTATTAGACCTGGTACATGTTAACACGACACGAAACTGAACACGAAAATAATTTAATAGTTTTCTTTAACGTGTTCCAGGTCGTTAACGGGTTGACCCATTAAGGACTGATTATGTTTCGTGTCTTAAGAACCGTTTAACTAGTAACTAGATAATACATGTTAATCAATTTATATGAATCCGTTTATACCCACTAAGAACCCATGTTATTGTTATATAATATAAAAGGAAAATATTTATTCTTGACCGAGTGGAATGTCATTTTTTAAGGCGGTAATGTTAAAGATGGGGTTCGAACATCATTGGGTGAATATTTCACTAGAATTAGTTAGTTCCGTAAGATATCACATCCTTCATGAGCAGCGACATTTGGGACCTATTATTCCCACCAGAGGTTTCCGAAAAGGGGATCCACTATCGCCATATTTATTCTTGATGATTACTGAAGGGCTGAGCGCCTTTATTGAGAATAAAATGAGTAGAGGTTTTCTGCATGGAGTCCGAGTTGCGAGAGGTGCACCGCAACTAACACATCTTGTTTTCGCCGATGATTGCTTCTTGTTCCTTCGTGCTAATACAAATGAGAGTTTACAGATGAAGATAGTGTTAGATAGTTATTCATCGGCTTCAGGTCTCTGTAATGAGCTGGAAACTATTATGAATATGTACTGGTGGACAGGAGCGGTAAGTAATGGCAGAGGTATTCGGTGGAGATCATGGGCTGGTTTGAGTATCCCGAAGGAGAATGGTGGTTTAGGATTCCGGAGGTTAAGAGAGATGAACTTAGCCCTATTAGGGAAGCAAGCATGGAGATTGCTCACCAGACTAGAATCTCAAGAGCCCAGGTTGCATGATGTTTTATACCATTACAAACCCAATGTAAGTTATTTTCGGGTTTTTGGCTCACTTTGTTATGTCCATATATTGAAAATGCATCGAAGTAAACTCGACCCGAAGGCGAAGCGATGTATTTTTGTTGGTTATGATGCTCACAGGAAAGGTTGGAGATGTATGGACCCAGAAACGAAGAAAGTTGTCATCTCTCGTGGTGTGGTGTTTGATGAGATTTTATCACATCAGAGTAGTGATGATAAGAATAGGGATGAAATTGATCTTTCACCTTTTCTTGATATTGATGAATCTTGTTTCAAAGATAGTAGTAATGTTTCTTCAGGGGAAAATATACAGCAAGGTGGAGCCTCAAATGTTTCTTCTGGAGAAAATATCCAGCAAGGTGAGGTCCAGAGGTTGTTTAGAGGTCCTCCAGACAGAGAAAACAACCAAATTATTTCTCTAACTATGATGTTCAATTAAATTGTTGCACTATTGTGTCCAGTTTTTTGTTAGGTGATTCTTTTGAAGAACCTAAAACTTATAAAGAAGCTCAAGGTATTTTTGAGTGGGAAGAAGCGATGAGGGATGAAATATGGGCACTTAATAAAAATTGCACATGGGAAGTTGTTCCGAAACCGGAGGGTGTTGATCTAATTACTTGTAAATGGGTCTACAAATTAAAGAAAAAAATCGATGGTTCTATTGAGAGGTATAAAGCACGTCTTGTAGCTCGTGGCTTTTCTCAAGCATACGGTCAGGATTATGAAGAGACGTTCAGTCCTGTTGCTAAAATGGCCACAATCCGGATGCTGTTTTCTTTGGCTTCTTGCAAATATTGGAAGTTGTGGCAAATAGACGTAAAAAATGCCTTTCTTTATGGGGAGTTAGATCGTGATATCTTTATGGAGCAGCCAATGGGGTTTGTTTCTAAAACTTTTCCGGATTATGTCTGTCGACTCAAGAAGGCTTTGTACGGCCTTAAACAAGCACCGCGTGCCTGGTTCGGTAAAATTGCTCAATTCCTTGCATTTTGTGGGTTTAAATCTTCTGATGTAGATTCAAGTTTATTTGTTAAGAAGACTACATAGGGGAGTACAATGCTCCTTCTATATGTGGATGACATGATCATTACTGGCGATGATAGTGCTGAAATTCATCATCTTCAAGATGCTTTGTTTCTTCGTTTTGAAATGAAAAAGTTAGGAGATGTAAATTGTTTTCTTGGTCTCGAAGTTAAAAGAGCAAAAGGTTATTTTGTTTCTCAAAGAGGATATGCAGTAAGGTTGTTAGATCGGTTTGGTATGAGTGAGTCAAATGCAGTGAATACTCCTATGGAACCTGGTTTAAAGTTGACTAAAGGTGGAGGAAAACGACTAAAAGATGCAACTCTTTTTCGTCAGCTTGTTGGTAGTTTATTCTATTTAACCATTACAAGGCCTGACATTTCATACTCTGTAGGTGTCATATCTCAATTTATGACATAACCGTATGATAGTTACTTTGTTGCAGCCAAGAGAATTCTTCGTTATATTAAAGGAACTTTGAATCTTGGGTTACTGTATAAACCATGTGCAACATTTCTTTTGAATGGTTTTGTTGATGCAGATTGGGCGGGAGATGTCAATGATAGACGTTCCACGGCAGGTTATTGTTTTAATATAGGTTCAGCTGTGATATCTTGGTGTAGTAAGAAACAAAGTACAGTTGCACTTTCTAGTTGTGAAGCTGAATATGTTGCGTCTACCATGGCTACTCAAGAATGTATTTGGCTTAAACGAATTATCTCAGAGATGCTTAAGGTTGTGGATTATCCGGTTCCTATTCGGTGTGACAATGAAAGTGCCATCAAGCTTGCAGGAAATTCTGTTTTTCATGCCCGTACGAAACACATTGATACTCATTACCATTTTGTTCGGGAGAAAGTCTTGACTCAAGATATTCAAATGCAGAAGATACGTACTGAAGATCAGGTCGCTGATATATTTACAAAAGCTCTTGGCAAGGCTAAGTTTGAAACTTTCAGGAGTGCTCTTGGTGTGGTTGACAGTGCGTTTGCACTACGGGGGAGTGTTGAAATTTAGTGCAACTTACTGCATATTTTATCTTTGTTATTATTGTTTCAATTATTATATTTAGTTTTGTTTTTAGTATGTTCTGGTCTTCATCTGTTATGGTCTTCCTTTTGTTTAGAAATATAGCTATTATTTAGGAGAAATAATTTATTATGACTTGTTCTAGATCATTTGAGATTTTTGAGGTCTTTTCTATGTATTTAAGCGGCTTGTCTATGCAGTTTTTACAGTGAGAAATAAATATCAATTTTATCTTCTTTCCTCTGGTTGTACACATTTACGTATAAATAAATAAATAAATAAATAAATAAATAAATATATATATATATATATCTTGTTTCAGAGCCATTACAACCCAAACTGTTCGTTCCTTGATGCCACGAGTGGAAGCAATCCATCTTACGTTTGGAGTGGTATCTTGACATCTCAAAATGTGATTAAGCAGGGGAGTCGTCGAATTATTGGTGATGGAAGAAGTACAATTATTGGTTGGGATGCGGATTGTCTGAGAGATATATTCAATCAGCGTGATGCGAATATCATTCTAAATATCCCGGTTAGTCGTGGTAAGCCACTAGATGTATAAACATTGCATTAATTATATACTAGTTTTATATGCGCATTGCGCGAATGAGTTAATACCCAATGTTTATAATTAATGCAAGTATATATATATATATATATATATATATATATATATATATATATATATATATATATATTTAAAAGTATTATCAATCTAAGATTATATATGACAAGTTATACATAAGTAATTTAATGTCGAATTTGTTTATTTAAATATGTAACTCATAAACTTTCAAAAAAAAAAAATATGTAACTCATAATATATGATTACAATGTAATATAAGAGATTCATTATAATTGTTTTTTTAAATAGTAACCAAGTATTTTTGTTGCAAAGGTTTCTAATATATTTAATGAATGCACATATAT